TCACTATGTCTGGTTTCTGAATATATCTGTATGCCTGTCTATATGTCTCGGTATGACTTTGTCTGTATGTCACTTCATGACTGTATGTCTCTGTATGTATGTCTATTTATGTTCGTCTGTTTGTCTCTATATGACTGTGTCTGTATGTCTAAGACACGCAAAAGGGGGTAAGACATTCAAAAGAGGGGATATGGAACACTAAATGGGTTAAGAAAAAAAAAAAATATATATATATATATATATATATATATATATATATAAAAAATTATTTATTTTTTATTTATTTTTTTTGGAGGGGGGCGGCATGTGTCTTCTTCGCCTGTGTAGCCCAAAATTCTCGCACCGGTCCTCAGTCCCGGCAACTTGCAGGGCCAGACTGATAGTGGGCCCTAATGTGCCTTTAACTTATTTTCCAGGCTGTCACAGTCTGAGGGGAATTCAGGACAGAGGTGATGAGGGCTGGAGATAGGTATTGAGGGCTGCTGCCGGAAGGAGCACTGAGTCTCGCTTTCCGAATTCCCAGCAGCTTTCCTGGCACACAAGCTACGTTCCGCCTCGTCCACAAAGCCCCACCTTCACACCTACTAGATTTGCCCATGCCGTTAAGCAGCAGACCTTGCTGCAAGATGAGGCAAGAAAATGGCCACTTGACCTCTTCTCCCCTAGCAACAATCTCCAGTGCCAGGTAGTCTTGAGGTACTCAGCAGCCCATTTCTGTGAGTATGTCCCTGCTAGTAAGAAAACATGTGTGTGTCAGTGAGCTTTTATTTAGTGAGCATGTGTGTGTCAGTGAGCTTTTATTTAGTGAGCATGTGTGTGTCAGTGAGCTTGTGTGTGTGTGTGTTTCAGTGAGGTTGTTTTCTAGTGAGCTTGTGTGTAGTGAGCGTGTGTCAGTGAGCTTGTCTGTAGTAAGCTTGCCAGAGAGTTTTGTCTGTCAGTGAGCCTATTTGTGTGTATCAGTGACCTTGTGTTTTGTGTCAGTGAGCCTGTGTATCAGTGAGCTTGTGTGCTTACTGTATACTTACTTTTTTTTTTTTGGTGGCATGAAAAGGGGCTAATGGAAAATGTGCATACATTTTACTTTGCTCCTATTTATCCATTAATTCCATTCTGTAAATTATTCTTCTATATCTTTCTTTTTCTATTTTCAGCTTTTATTTACTATATTTACTCTCCAATATAATTAATAATTTTTGTGAACTAATGTCGTTTCTATGGTGTAGACACAGCTATCTGACTGAAGTGAATCTGCACAAGGTCTTTCTATATTTGTACTGACAGTGTCGCCACTGTTATAAAAGGTCTACTCCAAAAAGAGAGAATTGCAGGGATTTGAGATTGGAATTTCAGACTTTAGGCCAAACTAGTGCAGCTGAATGGGAGAATGTTTCCATCTTGCCTACTTTGGCCTTAAGTGTAAAATTACCATCTCAATTCCGTGTAATTCTCTATTTATTAAGTAGACTGTAATCTGAACTATAAGTAGCCGGTGATTAATTATGTGGTTTGGACATAGTGGGTGGAGCTTTGCAGCAGTGGGTGTGGTACATTTTCAAGGTAGGAATTGATAGCTGTACTGCTAAGTGTCCATGGAAATTTTTTTCAAATATTGGCAACTATGTCAACTACTATTGTACAACCCCTCTCACTAAACACCCTATGTAATCTAAATCTGACAACCATGCATGCATTTACACAGCCGCATACACTCACTATACTCACAGACTCAAACACAATATATTACAAGCAGAGCATATGTATGCACATACAGACATTTATACATATGCAGTTGTCAAATATGAATATATATATATTTTTAGGCCAGCAATATCTAGTATAAGTATCACTGCCTGGGAACTCCCAAAGGTGACTTAGCTGATGGGGGTACAGTAACTGGGGTTCTACTTAGCTGAACTTGTCCCTTGCAATGCGGCCATGCTCTTCTGGGGGTCCTCTTCTGCTCCTACTGCTTCAGCACCAGGATTTCAATGTTGTACTCATGTGCATGCGCGAGAAACAGCATTGAGGGATCCTCCATAGATAGAGCCAACACACCGGTGACGGCTGAGGGATTGACACTTCTTGACGTCAGTAGCTCCGCCCAGTGTCAAGAAGTGTTAGATGTGTGAAAAATACATAAGACAAAGTTGTACTTTGTATTTTATTTTTGGTTAGAAATAGATGAAAAAAGAGGAAAAGAAAGACAGTAGGAAGAGGAAGCAATTGGAAAAAGGTAAGTATGGTGTGACAGCGCCACTTTAATAAATACATTATACTCTCTGCATTATAGATTTTTGTCCAAATCACCACTTTATACCTACATTGTACAGCATAGTTTTTATTTCACTAAAATCTGCTGCTCACTGAACAAATCCTGTACTACGATAGATAAATAGTAGAATAATGCATGTGTCTAAAACACAAGGGATTAAGTGTAAATAATAAATCTGGGGGAAATGTCTAATTGTGACATGGTATAACCTGAAACACTGTATGTTCCATTTATTTTTGTCACCATACATGGTGTTCTTCACAAAAATTAGTGATTGTACACAGTGAGCAATGACATTAATAAATATTCAATCATATGTAATCGTGATAGAGATTCCAAAGCCAGTCCTAAAGACACAACAGTAGGTTTTTATCAGTATCCCCATTAGAACATAACTGGTGAGATGCCTAAATCCTGCACTGTTGGTGTGCTTTTTAAGGAATGGGTTGGAAATCATTGGGTAGATGATAGCACTTAAAACATTGAATACTGCATTTGGTAAACACAGCAGTTTCTGTCACATGTGACCTGTGCTCATGAACAGGATTGGTCACTAGGTAGCTGCCTACAAACATCTGTCTATTACAGGCACATATCCTGACTACAAATATTTATTAGTGCTTGTATTTTCTTTTATTTGCAGTAGAGTAGAGAGTGAGAGATATACTTCCCTACTCTTATTTTTCATCTTGGAGTGAACACAAGAGAACTGGAATTTTTTTTGGAGGAGGAGTGAAGGGGCATCTGATATTTTGCTCCTATAGGAAATTGAGATGTATAACGTGGTCTGCCTGTGAATGACAATGATTACATCACTTTCTGTCTTATGATGGTGAGTTATCTGACACATATTTTTCTTTTAAAAACTGTTTTATTAGTGAGATCAAATTTAGTTACAGCAAGTAATGTGGCCTAGGGAAAGATCCCTCACTCTGAAAATGCCTACACCCTTTACTTGGTCTACACTCCCAAGCAAAAATAGAAGTCCCCTATACACTTACCATACTTGAAAAATAATGCTTCTTTGATCCAAGATTTAACTAACTGCTTTCCATTTACCATGTGTTACAAAAACAATCCTTTATCACATCCAAGAGGAGGAAAGACAGCTCCATGGAACTCCAGGCACCATAACCACTTCATTCACATAAAGTGGCTATGGTCTCCGGAGTTCTCCTTTAAATGACACAGATTAAGCGACAGAGAAGACCTGGTTGTCCGATATGAATAAACCCATCAATTTTGTAAACTTAATCTAGAGATTTGTCTTAGAACAATAATACTGAAATGAAGAGGATAGCACTGCAATGGATGTACCTGGTGCTAAATAGCAGATTGTCATCAAAAACTGATACTTGGCAATGATTCTTACCTACTATAATATCTTGATTTGCAATTTGTCTCTGATGTTTCTACTGGTATATACTGCTATGTAAAAAGTAGAATGGTCAATGGACAGTCCTGCTATGGACGTTTGAAGCATAGGTCCAAGAGTAGTCAAGATGTCCACCCCCCCCCCCTGTATATTTCCATTTTTTTTTTAAGATGAGACTTAAGAATGACTGTTTCTATACACATTATGACAATTCTTTTTCCCATAGTACTTTTATTTTATTTTTTTAAACAACAGTACATGGCGCCATCCATCCAAAAAATGCCAGCTGATCCAAATATGAGCCTTAGGAGCAGGTGCATCTGTTGCTTTTAGTGGTAGTTGGTGATTCCAGCAGTCCTTCTCAAAATCTGATAAGTGACTTGTGCTGTAAATTGCAGTAGGTAAACACCGCTGTGTTTCTCGAGTGTTTTTGTTGGTTTGTCATGTGGATACATTTTCATTTTGTAGAATGTAGATTTGCAAGAATTCAGCACTAAATGTTGACCTCCAGCACAGAATGTGAGTAATTCACTAACATAGTGAAGGCAACATTAGGCTAAGAGAGATGCAGTCCTGCCGCAACCAAATTATTTTCTGATTAAGTAACTGCACAATATTTTAAAGTATGAAGAGAGTGGCATGTATTGTTGTTTATCCAACAGTATGGGGGAGGCCCCCAAACTAGTGATATGGTAAGTGGATTCATTGAGGGCATAGAAATAATGAACAATTTATAGAGGTAGCTTGGGGTTGTAGCTCCACTATTCCAGTTGGTAGGAGACATATATTATAGCCATCTATCTATCCCTTCTCATAGAAATAATGAGACTAAGTGAATATTCAACAGTAAAGAAAGCAAGAACTAAACCAAAATCAGTTTCTCCACATTAACGATTTTAAAAGGTAGAGAGAGATGAGTAGCGCTGTGCGAATAAGAGTCCCATTGACTAATTTCGGCCCACATCAAGCTATTACAAGATGGGGAAGAAATCCAAGCATCAGGGTACTGTCAAACATACAGGGTCCCGCAATATCGAGAACCTTTTCCTCCGTCCCGCTAAGGTCTTAGGAACTCCTGCGATGACTGGACGACTTCCCAAACACAGGGGGATTACAGCACCCCTCCTTGGATGAGGACAACGAGCTGCTTTCCACTAAAGGAGATATAAAAGACCTTCTCCACAACATCCGCACGATGTTCGCAGCAGAGCTAGCCACCATGCCGGATGAGGTACATACGGTGGAAGGGTGAGTTAAGACAGTAGAGGAGGACACGCAGGGCCTCACTGCACGATGCATACAACTAGAAGCACAAAACACACCCAGTCCCTGCTTACTAACCGCTTGGTCGCAATGGACGATCGGCACAGGAGCCAGAATGTCAAAATCCGGGGAATCCCGGAGACTGTGATTCAGGAAGACCTCACCAGGAGATTGCTCACCTCTCTACTCACTCCACAGCATGTAAACCAAGTCGTGATCGATGGGCTCTATCGCATCCTGAGAGCTACTAGAGCCCCAAGAGATGTAATATTACAACTCCAAAAAATAAATAAACTTCATGGCAGCAGTGCGAGGCGTATCTACTCACCCCTTCGAAAATGCCGCTCTGTCTTTCTACCTGGACCTGTCCAGGCCTACCTTGGTATGGAGAAGCCTATTCAGACCACTGACCACCGCGCTCTGCCAACACGCTATCCCCTACCGCTGGGCATTCCACAGGAGCCTGGTCATCACGCATGGTGGAGCTATAAGCCAAGTAACCGACACATCTGAAATAGACTCAGTGCTATATCATGCAAATCGGAACCGACAACCCAAGTACTGAACTCCCCACACACCTGGGACATGTTTAGAGTACAACCGTTCCAGCCAGATGGACACACCACTCCACCCGTTGCTGCATTCAAATCGCAAAGGGCAAACCGGCACCTAAGGGGCACCTGAGCCTATGTAGGGAAAGCACAGGTTCTGGCTGAAAGGACTGTTCAACTAACGCACAGCAGAGTTTGTTTTAGTTTTGGCTTATATTTGATATTATTTTGGACATGGCTTCATGTTTATCTGTCTCCTGTATACTTTAGTTAAATCTGGCCACACACTGAGGTCTTGACTGGCCCACCCGGGCATGACACACTTAACCAACTTTCCCACTCACCTGACTGACCGCGCACATGTCCACCACACGAGGCACATAGGCTGGAGAGCGGCGCCAACCACCCCTTTAGACAGGAAGCTCTAACCCCCACCTGCAGACCGCACAATATCGTGTGCTGAGCCAAGCGCCTTTAACTATACCCCCTAAGTACCGCAGGTTATGCCCTTCCTACAGCTACGAGGCTGATAATAGGCAGACATAGCTCACAACCGACACTAGCAGAGACGCTCTGTAACAGGACGGACCATTGAGTTACACTCAACCCCTCTCCCCCCCCCCCAGCCCAGGAATACAGGACACTTTACCTAGCAAATAGTGACCGCTAACAACGGTTGAACCCAATAACATTGCAGGCATGCAACTTCCTCTTACAAACTTTAAATGTCAGTTATATATCTTATTCTTTTTGGCACAATTACTAAGCAATAATGGGCACAGCATGTCTATTACATGTACTGATCATTCAGTGTTGCTTATTACATTATCTCACCACAGTGCATTTAACCTGTAAATCTTGAAACTTATCCGTTTAGCTTAACCTGCATTGGGTAGGGCTCACTTGTTATTTTAACAACTATTCTCTCATTCTCCTGCAATAAAAGCAAGTTTTATAATGCTTTTACTTATAACCATTCACAAGTTTGGATAGCCCATGCTAAGGCCCAGTTTTGTTTTTCTTTATCCTTCAGACATGTTTGACTAGCCTGCGACTTTGCATCTTAACCTAAAAATGCGTGCAGTACTCTTATATGCCTCATACTTGCTCAAATATGTATCTTACAACCTTTGCTACTGCTGTTGGGGCGTTGCAAAACGGTATGTTAAATATTTGCACCACAGAAATAAAGAATTTCAAAAATGTCCAATCTGAGTCCATATCAGCCTATGCCCTCCAGGGGCAGAACACTTTCCTGTAAAAGAAAGAAATGCTTCAGGTCTCGTTGCACAGGTGTATGTAAGTGGAATAGGCCCTGTGCCGGAGTCAATATTCCCCTCGGTGTTCAGCCTCCCAGGGAGACCCTGAGTGGGACCCCTGTGGATCAAGGCCCGTTGCTGATCTGTACTCAAGTGTGGGATGTTTTAGTTTCCAACGCCATACTCAAGCACTCTGTATAGTCAGAGCCGTAGATTCACTATGGGGTGGTGTTTGAGGTGAGTTACCACTCGACTTACATGGATCGAGTTTCCACTCGACTTACATGGATCACGTTGATGCACTCAATTTCCACCACAAATTTGAGAAACTTCTGTCCAGCTTGGACATAATACTGAATGTCTCTCTGCCGTGACTGGGGGAGCATGCAGACATACCATGATGAGTGGGGACACTATGTCTTCTGCCTATTCTTGTGGCACCACCAGATGTCCTGGTACAGCAAAGAAGCCTCTTAGGTGTGGACCAGGACCACTCCTGCCAGTCCAGGAAGGGTAACTGGGCATCTGTATTATGCTGTAGTTACCCATGCAGCTCCGGGTTAGGAGATCTGCCTCCTCTCCATTCCGCAGTGTACACTAGTAATACTTTCAGGCAGAGGACCTCTCGTATTCAGCTGTAAGAAGAGTTGATGATCCCTACAATGTTGGCCAGCCAGGTCCAGAATCAGGTAAGTCACTTCCACTCTTAAAAATCAAGCTAAAAGAGTCTCTTTGTCCCTCTATATTAAAAGCTAAGTGAAGGACCTCTGTCAGAACTCGTCTATCCACCATGAGTCAGGCCCCGCCTGAGGTTATGTTCTTTATGTTCAAACTCCACCACTTTCCATTTGGCATAATTTAGGAAAGGATTGCTTTCCCATTTATCTGTCTAAGTCCATGTATGGTGTGAACATGCACTTTCTGCTCACACTGTTTAAAGTGACAGTGAAGGCACTATAACTATTTCATCCTATTGAATTGGTTACATTGCCTGGAATACCCTGGTGTTGTCTCTCTATTCAGTATAGTTTTGAGCAAGTACAGCCCGGTCCCCACTGGATGTATGATTAATAAAGTGATTACACACTTCCTTCTAGCTTTATCAACTCATTCTAGCAATGGGCACTGTCATAGGCGTGCGCACAGGGTGTGCCGGGTGTGCCTGGGCACACCCTAATCCCCGCGGCACGCCTATGGATTGAGACGGGCAGGGGAGAGGGGCAGCACCCTCACACACATATACAGCACACACACATACAGCACACACACATACAGCACCCACATACAGCACCCACACACACAGCACAGTACACTAACAGCATTCTCACAAACACGCCCAAACAGCACCCTCACACACACAGTACACTAACAGCACCCTCACAAAGACATACACACAAACACCCTCACCCACATATACAGCACCCTCACACACACAGTACACTAACAGCACCCTCACAAACAGTACACTAACCGCACTCACACAAACACCCTCACCCACACAGTACACTGACAGCACCCTCACACACACAGTACACTGACAGCACCCTCACACATACAGTACACTAACCGCACCCTCACACACACAGCAGTGTATGGATGTGTGTACATTTTATATATATATATATATATATATATATATATATATATAATCATACACACACACTCGGCGTGTGTTTTGTGCTTTAGGGTGCACACGCTAATGCAATAGGCTGTGCACGCCTATGGGCACTGTGATAGGCTGAAAGCAGTCAGCTGACACAGCTGCCTTTTAGGTTAATGTCTCCTACTTGGACTAAGCAGCACAGAGAAGAAGCGTTGTGAGTACAAAAAAATTTGTAATGCCATGACATTGCTTGTACTGCATTTAAAGCTCAATAAAATGTTAATTACAAAAAAAGTTTAATGCTTAATGGAAGGATAGTGCCAGGGGACTCCAGACACTATAACTACTTCAGTGACATAAAGCAGTTACAGTGCCTACAGTGTCCTTTTTAAGTCCACCTAATCCACTTACAGGAACTGAGCTGTAGGCATGTGTACAGACACTAAACGCCATCCATCTTGTGATGAGAGCATATGATCCGAGCTCGCCAGGGGATATAGCAGTGGTCTTTTGTTAATGAGAGCTTGCAATGACCTCTCACCCTTTAAAAGTACTTGGACATCTAAATGGGGAAGTGGTGCTTCCTCTGTTATACTTCTATGTAAACAAAACCTTGGTATATGTTTTTCCTCCTCGTTTGAATCAGAATAGAATGTCATGACTTAAAAATATTGCGGTTTCAGACTTAAAAAAAAAACACATTGAGGCCCAGATCTACTAAAACGCTGCAGCCATTACTCAGTATAAGCATGGAAAGTGTGAGACATGTTTGTCTGTTCCTCATGAAACATATCCCTTCTTTCTGAACAAGATTTGGAATTCCATCTAGAGGTTTAATAGTTTGCAGATGGAATAATATGACTCAACCTGATTTCTACATAATCCATTTGGCACTGCCTATAAAACAGGCATCTAGCACACGTATTTGTAAACAATAGTCTTTCTTGAATGATTTTGTTTCCTGTATGCTCCATATGTCCTGATTTTCCCTTATATATTAGCATACCCCATCCTGTCTGATCAGAAATAATGGCAATGTACCCTCTAAGTCTTTGTAGGAGGGACTCCCTATTCTGAGTAAAAGTCACCCGTGTTCTTTTCTATTTCAATGTCACTCTTTTTTAGGAGTTCAGTATTTTTGGTGTGAATATTACAGAGTTTCAATAAAACAGCTGTTTTGTTTATTCAAAGGAACACCAGTCACTATAACAACTTAATTTAAGTTGTTTTGGTACCAGGAGGTACCTGGGTGCTCTCTTACCATAATGCGACACTGTCATCCCCCTGAGAAATGAGTATTTCATAAAGATCAATTGTGTTGTAATTTCACTGAAATTCCAACTCAGTCAAAAGATATACTGGGACAAAGTAGGGATTACTACGCCTGACACTTCTAGACACTGAGCGGAGCTACCACCATCTAGAAGTGGATTACTACGCCTGACACTTCTAGACACTAAGCGGAGCTACCACCATCTAGAAGTGGATTACTACGCCTGACACTTCTAGACACTGAGCGGAGCTACCACCATCTAGAAGTGTCAGTATCCCAGCTGTTGCCAGTGACGGCTGCAGATATATTACCTGTACCGTATTGTGGTATCCTATATAGATCTCAATGCTGTACTCTTGTGCATGCATGAGAGTATTGCAGTGACGTCAGCTCCTGGCACTGATGCGCCAGGAGCAGATGAGGAGGACCAGAAGTTATGGCGGCGCCAATGACGGACAGGTTCAGTTAAGTCAATTTCACCTTTCCTTGTCTTCCCTGACCACCAGCAGCGATGTCACCGTCAAGGGACTTTGCAAATTATGAAAGAGAGCACAGACAAGTGATGTGATTTCATAACTTGCTCTGCTCAAAAAAGAATTACCCGTCTAAAATGGGTTGGACGTGCCCACATTACAGGCAGGTCAGTCGGTTGTGAATACAGGCCATGCTCCCTGCCTATCATTATCACCAGCCAATTGAGGGAAGATCCTGCAGATAGCACTGTTTAAATGCTCTCTGCAAGATCCTAGTGACCTGAACGTAGCACAAGCGCATCTAATGATGCACTCGCACTATGATTGTTGAGGACAGTTCCCTGGTGTCCCTTA